GGAGACGTTTAGGTCAATTTTATGCATTCTGGCGTTCGTAGATACAAGAAAACTGTTAAAATTCTTCAGAAACGTCACTTTTGAAGTGTTTTCTTGTACTTTTAAGCCACTCAGATACCCTACGGGCTCGGAAAGTGCAACGAAACCATCAAATCTTAGCTAGAAACTGTATTTTTGTCGATTTTTATTGAATTTGGACTATATTTCAACGATTTTTGATGGTTCTGAGCCACCAAACACACTTAAAGCATGCAGAATCGACTCAGAATAGGAAAAGGAGACGTTTAGGTCAATTTTATGCATTCTGGCGTTCGTAGATACAAGAAAACTGTTAAAATTCTTCAGAAACGTCACTTTTGAAGTGTTTTCTTGTACTTTTAAGCCACTCAGATACCCAATGGGCTCGGAAAGTGCAACGAAACCATCAAATTTTAGCTAGAAACTGTATTTTTGTCGATTTTTATTGAATTTGAACTATATTTCAACGATTTTTGATGGTTCTGAGCCACCAAACACACTTAAAGCATGCAGAATCGACTCAGAATAGGAAAAGGAGACGTTTAGGTCAATTTTATGCATTCTGGCGTTCGTAGATACAAGAAAACTGTTAAAATTCTTCAGAAACGTCACTTTTGAAGTGCTTTCTTGTACTTTTAAGCCACTCAGGTACCCTACGGGCTCGGAAAGTGCAACGAAACCATCAAATTTTAGCTAGAAACTTTATTTTTGTCGATTTTTATTGAATTTGAACTATATTTCAACGATTTTTGATGGTTCTGAGCCACCAAACACACTTAAAGCATGCAGAATCGACTCAGAATAGGCAAAGGACACGTTTAGGTCAATTTTATGCATTCTGCCGTTCGTAGATACAAGAAAACTGTTAAAATTCTTCAGAAACGTCACTTTTTGAACTATATTTCAACGATTTTTGATGGTTCTGAGCCACCAAACACACTTAAAGCATGCAGAATCGACTCAGAATAGGAAAAGGAGACGTTTAGATCAATTTTATGCATTCTGGCGTTCGTAGATACAAGATAACTGTTAAAATTCTTCAGAAACGTCACTTTTGAAGTGTTTTCTTGTACTTTTAAGCCACTCAGATACCCTACGGGCTCGGAAATTGCAACGAAACCATCAAATTTTAGCTAGAAACTGTATTTTTGTCGATTTTTATTGAATTTGAACTATATTTCAACGATTTTTGATGGTTCTGAACCACCAAACACACTTAAAGCATGCAGAATCGACTCAGAATAGGAAAAGGAGACGTTTAGGTCAATTTTATGCATTCTGGCGTTCGTAGATACAAAAAAACTGTTAAAATTCTTCAGAAACGTCACTTTTGAAGTGTTTTCTTGTACTTTTAAGCCACTCAGATACCCTACGGGCTCGGAAAGTGCAACGAAACCATCAAATTTTAGCTAGAAACTGTATTTTTGTCGATTTTTATTGAATTTGAACTATATTTCAACGATTTTTGATGGTTCTGACCCACCAAACACACTTAAAGCATGCAGAATCGACTCAGAATAGGAAAAGGAGACGTTTAGGTCAATTTTATGCATTCTGGCGTTCGTAGATACAAGAAAACTGTTAAAATTCTTCAGAAACGTCACTTTTGAAGTGTTTTCTTGTACTTTTAAGCCACTCAGGTACCCTACGGGCTCGGAAAGTGCAACGAAACCATCAAATTTTAGCTAGAAACTTTATTTTTGTCGATTTTTATTGAATTTGAACTATATTTCAACGATTTTTGATGGTTCTGAGCCACCAAACACACTTAAAGCATGCAGAATCGACTCAGAATAGGCAAAGGACACGTTTAGGTCAATTTTATGCATTCTGCCGTTCGTAGATACAAGAAAACTGTTAAAATTCTTCAGAAACGTCACTTTTTGAACTATATTTCAACGATTTTTGATGGTTCTGAGCCACCAAACACACTTAAAACATGCAGAATCGACTCAGAATAGGAAAAGGAGACGTTTAGATCAATTTTATGCATTCTGGCGTTCGTAGATACAAGATAACTGTTAAAATTCTTCAGAAACGTCACTTTTGAAGTGTTTTCTTGTACTTTTAAGCCACTCAGATACCCAACGGGCTCGGAAAGTGCAACGAAACCATCAAATTTTAGCTAGAAACTGTATTTTTGTCGATTTTTATTGAATTTGAACTATATTTCAACGATTTTTGATGGTTCCTAGCCACCAAACACACTTAAAGCATGCAGAATCGACTCAGAATAGGAAAAGGAGACGTTTAGTTCAATTTTATGCATTCTGGCGTTCGTAGATACAAGAAAACTGTTAAAATTCTTCAGAAACGTCACTTTTGAAGTGTTTTCTTGTACTTTTAAGCCACTCAGATACCCTACGAACGCCAGAATGCATAAAATTGACCTAAACGTCTCCTTTTCCTATTCTGAGTCGATTCTGCATGCTTTAAGTGTGTTTGGTGGCTCAGAACCATCAAAAATCGTTGAAATATAGTTCAAATTCAATAAAAATCGACAAAAATACATGTTGCGAGCGAGGCAACTAGCCAATTTATTTGAGTTGAAATGAAGAAATATAAGAGGGATGAAAATCCTACCTGGCGGATGAGTTTTCTTGGAGAAGAGGATGAGACTCGGGGTGGTTGTCTTGCGTCTTCTGCTGGCGCCAGCGGGTTTCACCTCGTGTCTTTTTCTACGCGTCCCTTATTGCACGCGCACGTTAAACGTCAAAGGGTCGTACTCGTACTCTTAAAACCGCGCACCGCTCTCTCTCTCTCTGTTATGCCGCCGATAGATGGCGCTAACATAACCGCCCACCAAATTTTCGGGGAAAATTTTAGGAAAATGAGAATAAATTCTAGGGACGGTTGAATGATAACCAAGTACATAAAGAATTGATAATAGATCCCAAAGATAATAACTACTGAAAAAAGAAAATAAAGGAGAATTCTGAAAAGAAAGGGGAAAAAATAAAGGAGAAAAAGAAAAAGGGGGAGACTTTACTGAGGGGGTAAAGTCACGAGTTTGTTAACGGGACGAATATATTGTCCTGAAGCAGTCCTAACTCTCACGACCCGGACAACTCCGTCGGGTCCAGGCTGGACTGTTTCAACACGACCAATAGGCCATGATAATGGATGAGTATTGATTCCACACATGAATACGACGTCACCTTCTTGAATGTTAGGTGCACTACGGTGCCATTTGCGCCTTTGAGTTTGTGTATGTAGGTATTCTTGCGTCCAACGACGCCAAAACTGTTGGAAAAGTTGACGAAGGCGCTGCCAACGGCATTTAAAAGTTATGTTTCCTGGTATATCGGGTTCGGGAGGAGAAAGTAGCGGTGATCCTATAAGGAAATGTCCAGGACTCAAATAATCAATGTTTTCCATGGGGTCGAAAGAAACTGAACATAATGGTCGGCTGTTCAATGTGGCTTCTATACGAGCGAATAAAGTTGTATATTCCTCGAAGGTATGTGCTGTATCTTTGATAAGTCGCTTCAGGAGGTTTTTAGCGGATTTTATTCCAGCCTCCCAAATTCCGCCGAAGTTGGATGCAGTGGGAGGGTTGAAATTCCAGTTTATTTGTTTGGCCGACAAGGAGGAGAAAATTTGATCCTTATGTTCATGTAAAAATCTGGTTATTTCCTTTAAATGGTTTGCTGCTCCAATATAGTTTCGTCCACAATCGGAATAAATGGTTTGAGGAAGGCCACGTCGTGATACAAATCGATCAAAGGCAGCTAAAAAGGCAGAAGTAGAAAGCTCAGTGACAAATTCGAGATGAGTGGCTTTGGTGCTCATGCAAACAAATAAGCATAAATACCCTTTATAGATTCGGGCGCTACGGCGTTTACTTTCTTTCACAAGAAAGGGTCCGCCGAAATCGGTGCCAACTTGTAAAAATGCTCGCACCAGTTGAGTTCTATATGCAGGAAGATCTGCCATGATAGGCTGAGCCGGAGTTGCCTTGAATCTATGGCAAGTTAAACATCTGTGTATTCGCTGACGTAATAAAGAACGCAGGGAAACTATCCAAAATTTTTGGGAGATAAGAGCTTGTACGGTTAAAGGCCCAGAATGTAAAGAGTACAGGTGATAGAAATCGCAAATAAGAGCAGACAAATGTGAGTGTTTGGGAAGTAGAAGTGGATGTTTTTGTTCAAATGGAAGATAAGAATGACGTAGACGTCCGCCCACCCTGAGGAGCCCAGCTGTATCCAAGAATGGTGACAATTTTGATAAAGCTGTGGGTATAGATATGTTATTCTTGAGTTTCTCAATGATGTCAACATAGTAATGTCGCTGAACGATGAAAACGCAGGATATTAATGCTTCTCGCAGTTCATTCAAAAAAGGGCTCCAGTTTTGCGTTGATTATGGTATCGAGCATTATTGATAAATCGTCGTACATACGCAAAAACTCTTTGAAGTCGAACAAGTGAGGAGAATTTACAAAGAACGTCTTCAGTGGTGTGCACATTAAGAACAATCTTGCCCTTGCGCTTCTCGGGAATATCGCTATCAGGGATAGATGTTCTTTGACGGGGCCACTTGTTAGGCGGTTGTGATAAGAATTCTGGTCCATAAATCCAAGAAGGAAAAGTAGATAATTGTTGAGGAGTCATTCCCCGGGAAGCGGCGTCTGCGCAGTTCTCTTTAGAGCTTATGTAATACCAGCTTTCAGGATTGGTAAGCTCAATTATTTTAACTACTCGATTAGCTACAAAGGGTTTTAAAATATGAGGCATAGTTTGTAGCCAGGCTAAGACGATTTGAGCATCAGTGTATAGTAGAGTTTCTTCCATCTTGAAAGTAGAAAGAGATTTTCGAACGGAGACAAATAACTTCGCTAACAGCAGTGCTCCTGAGAGTTCAAGGCGAGGAATGCTTAGCGGTGTGAGGGGTGCAACTTTGCTCTTTGCTTTGAGAAGTATGGTGTAATTAGAGCTGTCACGTAAGAAACAGAGGTAAATACACGCGGCGAACCCCTTTTAGGAAGCATCGCAGAAGCCTATTAATAGGAGTTGCTGATAATCATTTGGGAATTTTCTTGGAATCTTGATTTGTTGGAGAAGGTGGATTTCTGCAACAAATGTCTCCCATTGATGTCGGAGAATTGGATTCAGCGGTTCGTCCCAATCACACTGAAAGAGCAATAATTGTTGTAAGAAATGTTTAGCCCAAAAAACCACGGGCGTCAACCAGCCGAGAGGATCAAAAATCTGAGAGATGTAAGAGAGAATAGTTCTTTTCGTGGAAGGACCTTGAAATTGATGAGTGTGGTATGTGAAATTGTCCGAATTTGGTTCCCACATGAGCCCAAGAATTTTAAATGCAGATTCTTCTGTCGAAAATACTATGGGATTTTCAAGATACTGTGCAGGCAGAGAATTCAGTGATTCAGGAAGGTTGCTGCACCATTTTCTTAGCTCGAATCCACCTTTGGACAAAAGGTTAATCAGTTCGGTTTTAAGCTTTTCCGCTTCTTTCATTGAAGCAGCTCCAGTCACAATATCGTCCAGATAACTGTGCGCAATCAATGCATTTGAGGCGAGAGGATATTGTGCTCCTTCATCAGTGACTAATTGATGAAGAACTCTCTGTGCGAGATATGCGGATGAGGTTAGTCCATAAGTAACGGTATTAAGCTCATACTCTTGGACAGGAAGGTTGGGTTTTGATCTCCAAAAGATATGCTGGAACTGTCGATCTTGAGGTACTAGCATGATTTGCCGGTACATCATGCGGATATCAGCGCAAATGGCAACTTCGTGAACTCGAAAAGATATCAAAATATCGGACAAATCATTTTGCAGTTTAGGGCCGGGTAGTAAGCGTTCGTTTAATGAGCTTCCTTTGGAATCGAGAGCTGATCCATTGAAAACGACTCTTATTTTAGTGGAAGAACTCGTTTGCTTGAAAACACAATGGTGAGGCAAAATGTAGGACGATGGCTTTGTAATGACATTCATGTGGCGTAGATCTTCATATTCAGTAAGGAAGGCTTGATACGGCGCTTCGGTTCCGGGTTGTTTATGTAAACGCTTTTCCAAGTTAAAGAAGCTCTTCATGGCAATGTGTCTATTTACACCAAGGGAAGTACATCCTTTTTTGAAGGGTAAAGACACAGAATATCTGCCAGAAGCATCACGAGAGTGGGTTTGAAGAAAGTGTTCTTCACAAAATACGTCATCAGGATTAACAGGTTTTGAAATCTCAATTTCTTCTTGCTCCCAGAATTGTCGTAATAAAGAATCCAGTGAAGGGTTGACGACGAGTAACGAAACTGAAGAGGTAGTAGGGTGTTCTATTGAGGTATTTCCCATTATTATCCAACCAAAAAGTGTTCGAATCGCAGAAGGATTCCCGGAAATTATATGTGGTGAATGAGGTGATAAAATATGTGGGTAAATATCTGCACCGATAAGAAAATCTATTTTTGAAGGTTGATCAAAGGAAGAATCGGCAAGGTCGATTTCCATAAATTTTTGACGAATAGAAGTTGGTAGAGGAAGCGTAGGCAATTTATTGGCGATGGATGTTAACACCACAGCATTGACCTTGAGACTTTCAGATGAATATTTGGAACGTAAAATGCAGTTCACTATTCCTTGGGTTTTTGTGTATGATCCTGATATACCACTTACCTCGATATTTTTTGCTTGCGATCGCCTAAGACCCAATCTGTTCACTGTTCTTAAAGTTATCGCGGAGATTTGCGATCCAGGATCAACAACTGCTCGAATTGGCCAAAAGATTCCAGCTTCATCTTGAATAAAAAGCTGTACTGTTCCTAATAAAACATGATGGGGAAGCAGGTTGTTCGTAGTTCGACAGGATAGTGTTACAGTAGTACTATTCGGTGGAATTTCCTTTGTACTGTCCTTCTCTGCATGCAAGAGTGTGTGATGTTTGCCATTGCAGTGTTTACACGTATTTGTAGAAGCACAAGAGGTTAGGAAATGGTTACCCAGGCAGTTGAAACATCGTTTGAGAGATTTTATCGTATCATATTTTTGTTGGATACCTTGGGCGAGAAATTCTTCACAACGTGATAGTGAATGACTACTTTGGCATAATGGACACGTCGGTGCAGGTGGTAGTCCCTTTCGAGAGCTTCCAGGGCTATTATTTTCCTTCGTTTTAGTAAGGAAAGAGTTGGGGCGCTTGGATGGTAGAGATTTTAAGCGCGATTTGCTCGTGTTGGAGGTTTCAGCAGCGCCGACAACTTCAAATGTCTTGCATTGTTCTGTTACGAAGTCGATTAATTCTTTATACGTGGGAATGCTGTTACTCTGTATTTTGGCTTCAAAGGCTTTACGAATATTCGTATCAAGGTTTTCAGAAACCATTTGGAACAAGAGAAAGTCAGCAAGATCGGGAATATTCAGAGCTCTCAAAGCGTTTATGGAGTTTGAATGAATGTTGAGAAAGTGTTGAAGGCCGTTGCGGGTGTTCAAAGATGAACCAGTAAAATTTTTGATTTGGGAAAGATAATGAATGGCGAGTCTTCTTTTGTTTTGGTAACGATTTTGTAGAGCTGCGAAGGCAAGGTCGTAATTTTCGGGAGTGACTTCGAGCGCCGAAATGACTGCTAATGCGTCGGAATGAAGCAGTGATCGCAAATAAACAAATTTCTCCGCTGATGAAAGCGTTGCGTTTTTGTGAATAATTGAAGTAAACAAAGAAATAAAATTATTACAATCTTCGATCTTTCCGCTGAACTTTGGAATGGCAATATTAGGTAGAGAGGATTTGCTAGCCGTGGACGTGTGTGGGGCTGAACTGGTATCGCTCGAGGCTGGCATACTTCGAATCAGATCCATATATTTTCCACGAACTTCGTAGATGATATTATCACATGCTTTTTGGACATTTAGAACCTCCAATTTATCTGCAGCAATTTTTATTTGCGAATTGCGGTCGATTATTTGATCTTGAATTCCCTCAAATCTTGCCTCCAATTCCACTAATTTATCAATTCGAGGTCGAAACAAGCGAACATTTTCTGAGGTTAGGGTTCGAGAAGAATCCAGAACGTTCTGAATTCTAGCAAATAGTGATTCACGTTTAATGCGTAATCCCTCCAGCTCGGTAAGGATTTCTTCGGGTGTGGGCATTTTGTAAACAAATCACACGATTGAATTGTAAACAAACCAATAAGCAACGAGGAGACAAAAAGCGGTTTGCGATAAGGATGCTCGAGTGAAGAAAAACTTCGACTGTCGCCGGGTACGATAAAGAGAGCAAAAACTACCAGAAATGAATGATTTAAACAACATGTATTGCGAAATGGACTGTATTCAGAGGAATGATCCGGCTCGAAGGACCAATATGTTGCGAGCGAGGCAACTAGCCAATTTATTTGAGTTGAGATGAAGAAATATAAGAGGGATGAAAATCCTACCTGGTGGATGAGTTTTCTTGGAGAAGAGGATGAGACTCGGGGTGGTTGTCTTGCGTCTTCTGCTGGCGCCAGCGGGTTTCACCTCGTGTCTTTTTCTACGCGTCCCTTATTGCACGCGCACGTTAAACGTCAAAGGGTCGTACTCGTACTTTTAAAACCGCGCACCGCTCTCTCTCTCTCTGTTATGCCGCCGATAGATGGCGCTAACATACAGTTTCTAGCTAAAATTTGATGGTTTCGTTGCACTTTCCGAGCCCGTGTGGTATCTGAGTGGCTTAAAAGTACAAGAAAACACTTCAAAAGTAACGTTTCTGAAGAATTTTAACAGTTTTCTTGTATCTACGAACGCCAGAATGCATAAAATTGACCTAAACGTCTCCTTTTCCTATTCTGAGTCGATTCTGCATGCTTTAAGTGTGTTTGGTGGCTCAGAACCATCAAAAATCGTTGAAATATAGTTCAAATTCAATAAAAATCGACAAAAATACAGTTTCTAGCTAAAATTTGATGGTTTCGTTGCACTTTCCGAGCCCGTTGGGTATCTGAGTGGCTTAAAAGTACAAGAAAACACTTCAAAAGTGACGTTTCTGAAGAATTTTAACAGTTTTCTTGTATCTACGAACGCCAGAATGCATAAAATTGACCTAAACGTCTCCTTTTCCTATTCTGAGTCGATTCTGCATGCTTTAAGTGTGTTTGGTGGCTCAGAACCATCAAAAATCGTTGAAATATAGTTCAAATTCAATAAAAATCGACAAAAATACAGTTTCTAGCTAAAATTTGATGGTTTCGTTGCACTTTCCGAGCCCATAGGGTATCTGAGTGGCTTAAAAGTACAAGAAAACACTTCAAAAGTGACGTTTCTGTAGAATTTTAACAGTTTTCTTGTATCTACGAACGCCAGAATGCATAAAATTTACCTAAACGTCTCCTTTTCCTATTCTGAGTCGATTCTGCATGCTTTAAGTGTGTTTGGTGGCTCAGAACCATCAAAAATCGTTGAAATATAGTTCAAATTCAATAAAAATCGACAAAAATACAGTTTCTAGCTAAAATTTGATGGTTTCGTTGCACTTTCCGAGCCCGTTGGGTATCTGAGTGGCTTAAAAGTACAAGAAAACACTTCAAAAGTGACGTTTCTGAAGAATTTTAACAGTTTTCTTGTATCTACGAACGCCAGATTCATAAAATTGACCTAAACGTCTCCTTTTCCTATTCTGAGTCGATTCTGCATGCTTTAAGTGTGTTTGGTGGCTCAGAACCATCAAAAATCGTTGAAATATCGTTCAAATTCAATAAAAATCGACAAAAATACAGTTTCTAGCTAAAATTTGATGGTTTCGTTGCACTTTCCGAGCCCATAGGGTATCTGAGTGGCTTAAAAGTACAAGAAAAGTGTGTTTGGTGGCTCAGAACCATCAAAAATCGTTGAAATATAGTTCAAATTCAATAAAAATCGACAAAAATACAGTTTCTAGCTAAAATTTGATGGTTTCGTTGCACTTTCCGAGCCCGTTGGGTATCTGAGTGGCTTAAAAGTACAAGAAAACACTTCAAAAGTGACGTTTCTGAAGAATTTTAACAGTTTTCTTGTATCTACGAACGCCAGAATGCATAAAATTGACCTAAACGTCTCCTTTTCCTATTCTGAGTCGATTCTGCATGCTTTAAGTGTGTTTGGTGGCTCAGAACCATCAAAAATCGTTGAAATATAGTTCAAATTCAATAAAAATCGACAAAAATACAGTTTCTAGCTAAAATTTGATGGTTTCGTTGCACTTTCCGAGCCCATAGGGTATCTGAGTGGCTTAAAAGTACAAGAAAACACTTCAAAAGTGACGTTTCTGTAGAATTTTAACAGTTTTCTTGTATCTACGAACGCCAGAATGCATAAAATTTACCTAAACGTCTCCTTTTCCTATTCTGAGTCGATTCTGCATGCTTTAAGTGTGTTTGGTGGCTCAGAACCATCAAAAATCGTTGAAATATAGTTCAAATTCAATAAAAATCGACAAAAATACAGTTTCTAGCTAAAATTTGATGGTTTCGTTGCACTTTCCGAGCCCGTTGGGTATCTGAGTGGCTTAAAAGTACAAGAAAACACTTCAAAAGTGACGTTTCTGAAGAATTTTAACAGTTTTCTTGTATCTACGAACGCCAGATTCATAAAATTGACCTAAACGTCTCCTTTTCCTATTCTGAGTCGATTCTGCATGCTTTAAGTGTGTTTGGTGGCTCAGAACCATCAAAAATCGTTGAAATATCGTTCAAATTCAATAAAAATCGACAAAAATACAGTTTCTAGCTAAAATTTGATGGTTTCGTTGCACTTTCCGAGCCCATAGGGTATCTGAGTGGCTTAAAAGTACAAGAAAAGTGTGTTTGGTGGCTCAGAACCATCAAAAATCGTTGAAATATAGTTCAAATTCAATAAAAATCGACAAAAATACAGTTTCTAGCTAAAATTTGATGGTTTCGTTGCACTTTCCGTGCCCATAGGGTATCTGAGTGGCTTAAAAGTACAAGAAAAGTGTGTTTGGTGGCTCAGAACCATCAAAAATACTTGAAATATAGTTCAAATTCAATAAAAATCGACAAAAATACAGTTTCTAGCTAAAATTTGATGGTTTCGTTGCACTTTCCGAGCCCGTAGGGTATCTGAGTGGCTTAAAAGTACAAGAAAACACTTCAAAAGTGACGTTTCTGAAGAATTTTAACAGTTTTCTTGTATCTACGAACGCCAGAATGCATAAAATTGACCTTAACGTTTTCTTTTCCAATTCTGAGTCGATTCTGCATGCTTTAAGTGTGTTTGGTGGCTCAGAACCATCAAAAATCGTTGAAATATGGTTCAAGTTCAATAAAAATCGACAAAAATACAGTTTCTAGCTAAAATTTGATGGTTTCTTTGCACTTTCCGAGACCGTAGGGTATCTGAGTGGCTTAAAAGCACAAGAAAACACTTCAAAAGTGACGTTTCTGAAGAATTTTAACAGTTTTCTTGTATCTACGAACGCAAGAATGCATAAAATTGACCTAAACGTCTCCTTTTCCCATTCTGAGTCGATACTGCATGCTTTAAGTGTGTTTGGTGGCTCAGAACCATCAAAAATCGTTGAAATATAGTTCAAATTCAATAAAAATCGACAAAAATACAGTTTCTAGCTAAAATTTGATAGTTTCGTTGCACTTTCCGAGCCCGTAGGGTATCTGAGTGGCTTAAAAGTACAAGAAAACACTTCAAAAGTGACGTTTCTGAAGAATTTTAACAGTTTTCTTCTATCTACGAACGCCAGAATGCATAAAATTGACCTAAACGTCTCCTTTTCCTATTCTGAGTCGATTCTGCATGCTTTAAGTGTGTTTGGTGTCTCAGAACCATCAAAAATCGTTGAAATATAGTTCAAATTCAATAAAAATCGACAAAAATACAGTTTCTAGCTAAAATTTGATGGTTTCGTTGCACTTTCCGAGCCCGTAGGGTATCTGAGTGGCTTAAAAGTACAAGAAAACACTTCAAAAGTGACGTTTCTGAAGAATTTTAACAGTTTTCTTGTATCTACGAACGCCAGAATGCATAAAATTGACCTAAACGTCTCCTTTTCCTATTCTGAGTCGATTCTGCATGCTTTAAGTGTGTTTGGTGGCTCAGAACCATCAAAAATCGTTGAAATATAGTTCAAATTCAATAAAAATTGACAAAAATACAGTTTCTAGCTAAAATTTGATGGTTTCGTTGCACTTTCCGAGCCCGTTGGGTATCTGAGTGGCTTAAAAGTACAAGAAAACACTTCAAAAGTGACGTTTCTGAAGAATTTTAACAGTTTTCTTGTATCTACGAACGCCAGAATGCATAAAATTGACCTAAACGTCTCCTTTTCCTATTCTGAGTCGATTCTGCATGCTTTAAGTGTGTTTGGTGGCTCAGAACCATCAAAAATCGTTGAAATATAGTTCAAATTCAATAAAAATCGACAAAAATACAGTTTCTAGCTAAAATTTGATGGTTTCGTTGCACTTTCCGTGCCCATAGGGTATCTGAGTGGCTTAAAAGTACAAGAAAAGTGTGTTTGGTGGCTCAGAACCATCAAAAATACTTGAAATATAGTTCAAATTCAATAAAAATCGACAAAAATACAGTTTCTAGCTAAAATTTGATGGTTTCGTTGCACTTTCCGAGCCCGTAGGGTATCTGAGTGGCTGAAAAGTACAAGAAAACACTTCAAAAGTGACGTTTCTGGAGAATTTTAACAGTTTTCTTGTATCTACGAACGCCAGAATGCATAAAATTGACCTTAACGTTTTCTTTTCCAATTCTGAGTCGATTCTACATGCTTTAAGTGTGTTTGGTGGCTCAGAACCATCAAAAATCGTTGAAATATGGTTCAAATTCAATAAAAATCGACAAAAATACAGTTTCTAGCTAAAATTTGATGGTTTCTTTGCACTTTCCGAGACCGTAGGGTATCTGAGTGGCTTAAAAGCACAAGAAAACACTTCAAAAGTGACGTTTCTGGAGAATTTTAACAGTTTTCTTGTATCTACGAACGCAAGAATGCATAAAATTGACCTAAACGTCTCCTTTTCCCATTCTGAGTCGATACTGCATGCTTTAAGTGTGTTTGGTGGCTCAGAACCATCAAAAATCGTTGAAATATAGTTCAAATTCAATAAAAATCGACAAAAATACAGTTTCTAGCTAAAATTTGATAG